TGTGCTGATGCAGCCATTACTGGCATTATGCTTCCGCCACTGATGGAAATCCAGGTATATTCGCCCTGCTTATTTAAATATGCTGATGCTTTCTGTTTTAATTGCATGAAAAGCAGCAAGATTATAAAAACACACATTGTACCCAAAACACAAAAAAACAAGATGGTCATTTGTCAAGTTCAAGAAATTAAAAGAACACATACCATGTAATGTTAAACTGCAATTAGGGTAGTCAAGGGTCAGAAATAATCAATTCCATTGAGAATAACACCAACTGTTCAATAAAAGGACTTTTGTCTGCCCGGGATATAGGAGACCAGCTCAAAAAGGAAGTTATCTTCATGATCAAATTGTTGATTCTCTTGAGAAGCACAGGATCCTGGGAGCTATCGATAGACATTTTCTATTTTATCTTATCTATTTCCTTTTACTTGTCTCCATCATCTATGGTATTAGGTTGACAGATTCATTTTCAAATGAAAATCTCTCGTCATCTTCATCTGCTGAATTATTCGGTTCATTGGATGGAGAGCAAACTCCATGTACACTTTAAGCTTTCAGAGCATTTATTTCTTCACTTCCACACCTTCGCCTATATTCTTGAGCTTCCTCCAGATCCTTTTTCCAGTGTTTCTCCTTTTCAATCAAATAACGTATGTTCATGTCACCCTGTCCTGTGACATTTGCATGCTTTCTCAGCTTCCATCTTGATGGAACAAGGTTCTGTTGAGTTGACAAGTTAAAAAGAAGTTAATAGGTGGGGATATATATGACAAGATACCTTGCATCAAAGTCAACTGGAAGCTTGAAAGTTCTTGAAGAACTATTTTCCCCCATTGACAAATCTCAAAATCTTAGCATTTATACCACACTGATTTTGTTTGTCATATTATAAATAATGAGATAATCAAAGGAACTTCATTCTTAGATTTATGCAAATTTCTTTCGGTAATGTTTACAATTTTGTTTTGTTGCCATTTTGGTCCATTTTTCGTAGTTTTTTATTTTATTTTATTTTTCTGATAGCTTCTGGTCTTTTCCCCATAAATCATGGAAACTTTCTGAAGTTATTCTGGGTTTGAATTCAGTTGCTTTTATTGTTGGGCAGTCAACTGGACATTATTTCTGTGGAATCACTGTTGGAGAGGATGCAGTGATTTCAGCCTTCAGGTTAGTGTGGTGGGATGATGCAACTTACAGGTTTTCTACTTAGTGTTAAATGCAGTCTTATATTTGTTTCACTTAAAAGTGCCCATATTTATTGACGACATTTGGTTTCTCCATATAAAGACTATCGGAAGACAATAATAGGTCTTTGGTGGGGGCAATCTTGTCTAAAGTTGTGCCTGCAACATTTTCAACAATAGCTTCATTATCAAAAATGATTTTGGGGAGCGACCAGACTTCACCTAAAAAATCAGAGGAGAAACCTCAACCATTTGCACAAGGTGAGATTAATTTACTGTAGTTATTTATTTAAAGTTCATAATGTTGTTGCCTAAGTACATTTGTGTCGTCTTTCCACTCGAATGTATAAATGAAAGAAGAACGAGGTTATAAGCACAAGGAACAGAGAAATGGTAACTCATCTTGAAAGTATCTACTTCCTTTGCATCCATGTATGTGGTGGTCATGCCCCCTGCTTGCATGACTATTTGTGTTTTCCATACTTTGTTGGCTCTTGGAACTTTGCTAATATTGTTTCTATTGAAAGAAATAACAGTAACATTTTTTTTGGTTAAAAAATAAGAAGAAATAGGCACGAACATGCTTTTGGACTGGTAATGGAACCAAAAGTAGATACCTCAGTTCCTCTGTGTGTGCAACATTCATTCAAGTCTAAGGAGGTAAGTGATTTGACCTGGCTTATTGTCAGCTGAAAGGGAATTAAACCATAAGGGCTCGTATGGTACCTAGGATTGGAATGGATTGGATCATTAAATGCAGGGTATGTGGTGGGTGATTTTAATATTTGAGGAGATTAGAAGGGTATTAGACATGAAGAAAACTTATCCCTTCTAATCCTAACATTTTGGAGAGGAGTGTAATGAATAAGTTTTCTTAATGAGTAATCCATCTTCTACCTTCAAGTAAACAACAAACGAGGCCTAAGTTTTAAGTGCTACTATTATAATTGATTTTTTCTTCATGGATTTGGGAGTCTAGTTACCAATCGTTAATCAACTGCATTTAAACTTTTTTTTTCGCTCACATGTGATTTTATTTGTGACAGCTTCACCATTGACATGTTTGAAGGATTTCCCAAGAAAGGGTGAGAAGCTTACCTTATCACCTAGTGGCACATTGGCTGCGATTACAGATTCACTTGGTCGTATATTGCTTTTAGACACTCAAGCACTTGTGATAGTGCGGCTTTGGAAGGTTTCTCTCAGAAACCTTAAATTGAAAGTTTTTCTATCTCCTTCGTTTTGATGTTCTAGTTTTTCCCTGATGGTGGTATGAGTCGATTTGCAGGGATATCGGGATGCTAGTTGCCTATTCGTGGAGATGCTGGTCAAAAAAGATACTGCAGCTTCAAATTCAAGTTACTATGAACCCACGAAGAGTGATTACTGCCTGTGTTTGGTTATTCATGCCCCTCGAAAAGGAATTGTTGAGGTAGTTTCTTTTACCGCTTCCTTTCAGGAACTCTCTCCTTTTTCGGACATGCAAGCAGTCAAAGATCTTTTTCATTCTCTTAGATGCATTTTTCGCAGTTTATATATTTACAATAATGAGACTGCAAAATTAAAATAGCATAGACTGCATTTCCTCTTATCTTCAAAGAAACTATCTATACCTGGCATTCTTTAGTACATTGTTACTTATTTAAAAAAAAGATCACACAAAGTTAAGAGTCATTCTATACATGCTTGTTTTGGGTTTCATGGGAACCGTGCACCGCTCTTCCATTTTCACTCAAATGAAGCAGATGAGTTTAAGGGAATATGTGCTGGATGGCAGCCTAGAAATCGAATGAATGGATATCATTAAGTAAGGACAAGAAATTGTTTTAGTTTTGGACTGATGGGAACTTACTTCTTGTAGTTATTAAAAGAACTGCAATAGTACTTCAAGTGATTAACATCTGACTCACGCTTAATTTCTAACAATATGTTTTCTCTCGTGGCAATATTGTGCAGATTTGGCAGATGAGAACCGGACCAAGGCTTCGAGCATTTCAATGTGCGAAAGGTAGCAAAATACTGCAACCTACGTATAGATTTGGTTCGTCAATAGCCTCTCCTTATGTTCCTTTGGAGGTTTTCTTGTTGAACGGCGACTCAGGTCAAATATCAGTCTTGAACCGAACTCTCTAATCGAATGTAAATATCAAACATTTGTAAATCTTTTTATGTAAATGAAACGATGAAATCCTTTACCGGAGTAGTTTAGTGGTCTTTGTTGGATTATTCTTCATCTGTTCCTTACTTAACGACTAAACCCAAAAACCACCCGATCTTGAAACCGGCCAAACCGTTAGGCTGGAAGTACAACAATTACAATGTTGAGAGCAATGCAGTTTGGTTTGCTTTGGGCTGTCATTTGTTTTACACCTTTGTTTTTTGGGTTGGGTACTTGCTTCTGGTGGACCATCTCCTCAATCGAATCGCCTTCAATTGTTTTACACTTTGGTTTCTGGGACGGATTTGGTGGCACTGTCTTTTTTACGCAGTTTTTGACACGAGTTTTTTTTTTGCCAATTCTGTAATATATTTCAGTGATCTGAATGATTTATTTTTTAAGTTTTCTTTCAAAGATCATGAGTATCAAAAAGTATCCAAATCCAAAACCAATGATCGTTGAATTAAGGGTTTAGGGTTTCGTTGCAGAACTTTATTCGTCCATTTTCTTCACAATAAATAAATGTCTTAATAGATTTGGATTTGTCTAATTTTTTTGCAAGGATAATCTATGAATTATGACCTAAAAGATGAACGGTTTGGATTCTTAAAATACACTAGTGAGTCCTACAAAAACATGTATAAAAATATGTTGCTACAGATTCATCCCCTTATACAAAATTTGATTTTTACCCCATATGAAACATAGTGAATTTTCCAAATGTATTTTGCAACAAAGAAGAGAGAAAGAGCAATAAAATATAGGGAACTTTAATGAAAAGCTCTCGGTACTGTTAACTTTAACAAAAAAAATCACATTTTTACACTAAAAAATCAATCCTGGTACTATTCACTTTACCTTTTATTTTGTCCTTATTGTTAAATCTCAAAGTTTTTAAGTCATTTTCATTAATTTTCTTTAAAATATAAGGAGGAACTGATATTCTGTCCACTAAATTTATCACCGATTTCTTTTGGATTCCCTTGAAAAACGACAGTTCATTTTACCAAATGCATGAGACATTGTTTTCCAACACATTCCAATTGCTATTTGTAGAAAATACAAAATTACTAAATATTTCTTTGGACTAAAATTGGTAAGTTAAATAGATTTTCTACTATATTTACCTACGCCATTATCACTTCATTAGCACAATTGTTTATGGTATTTCTTATTGAAATTAAGGTTTATTTGGAAAGTACTTTTAAATGATGGAAGCGATTCTTGAAAAAAAATGTTTTTGAGTTCAAAATCACTTAAAGTGATTTTATTATTATTATTTTTTTAATTTGTGAATGAAACAATTTAAAATTAATTTGCATTTTTAAGGATTAATTTTAAAAATACTTTCTTTAAAAACGCTTTATCCATTTAAAAGTATTTTTTTTAACGAGCTCATAAAAATTTAAATAATATTTTAATTAAATAGTTAATAATTAAAAAAAAGTTATTTGCACATGAAAAATTAAAATTGATTTTTCAAATAAAAACGGCAAGCCTAATTTTCGAACAAATCAAACGAGAATCAAGAATTCCAAGTTTTGTCCTTTTTTTTTTTTTTTTAATGAAATTAAAAACGTACATTTAATAAATTATTTAAATCAGTTTATAGAATGAATCACCAATTCACCATTGTTTTCTTCTCCAACAAAAGAAACTTTTCGACAAAAACAAAAAAGGCAAAAGAAACTCACTATTGTTTTCCACTCCAAGAACCGCACCAAAGCAACAGACAGCTCAACTACCAGTAAGTCACTCATGGCCTCTCCGTTGGCCCTCTTCTTCCTCCTGCTCCTCCTCCACCGACCACTCTTTTCCACTGCCAATGTCCACAAACTCAACCTCCTCCGATCGGAGCTCCTCTCCGAGCCCACCCCTCAAAACTACCCCGCACCAACTCTCTTCTTCGAAGTAACCAAACCCATAGAACTCCCCAAAACCAAGCCCTGCACCCGGCTCGTTCTCCAGCACGACTTTGGGTATACATATGGCAAAGCTCCAGTCTTTGCTAAATACACCCCTCCCTCGCACTGCCCATCTCAAACATTTTCTAAAATTGTCCTCGAGTGGAAAGCCACCTGCAAAGGGAGGCAGTTTGATCGGATTTTTGGAGTTTGGCTAGGCGGCGTTGAGCTTCTCAGGAGTTGCACGGCGGAGCCGCGGCCGAATGGGATTGTTTGGAGTGTCGAGAAGGACATCACAAGGTACTATTCTTTGCTTCAAAACAGTCAAACACTTGCTGTTTATCTTGGGAATTTGATTGATAAAACCTACACTGGAATTTACCATGTGAACATAAGCATTCATTTTTACCCTGCTGAGAAGAATTTGAATTACAATGACGAGAAAAAGTTGGGAAATTTGGCTTCTGGGTACCATTCTTGGGCTGATTTGATCTTGCCCATTTCTAGAAATCTGCCTTTGAATGATGGGTTGTGGTTTAAAATCCAGAATTCGACCGATACGCAGTTGAAGGAATTTCAGATCCCACAAAATGTTTATAGGGCTGTGTTGGAGGTGTATGTTTCATTTCATGAGAATGATGAGTTTTGGTATTCAAATGCTCCTAATGAGTACATTGCTGCAAACAATCTTAGCGGCACGCCTGGAAATGGGCCTTTTAGGGAGGTTGTGGTGAGTTTAGACGGTGAGGATGTTGGTGCAGTCTGGCCTTTTACTGTGATTTTCACTGGAGGGGTGAATCCTCTGCTGTGGAGACCCATTACTGCGATTGGATCCTATGATCTTCCTTCTTATGATATTGAGATTACGCCCTTTTTAGGGAAGATATTGGATGGAAAGAGTCACAAGTTTGGTTTTAATGTTGCAAGTGCCTTGAATGTTTGGTATGTTGACGCGAATTTGCATCTTTGGTTGGACAAGCAGAGCACGAAAACTGAAGGAGGGCTTTTGAAGCATAGTAGCTTGCCCCTTGTTGTTTCACTGGTTTCAGATTTCAAGGGTTTAAACGGCACATTTTTGACAAGGGTCAGCAGGTCTGTGTCATCGACTGGATGGGTGAAGTCCTCCTATGGGAACATCACAACCAATGCGATTCAAGATTTCCATTACAGTAATACAATGGTCATGAGGAATGATGGTAATACACAGATAGTGAGTCAGAAGATCCATTTCAACGATACACTTCATATCAGGCCGCCATCCTCTAGTGCGTACTCAATGTCATCAAACAAAAAATTTCCTCTTTACTTGTACACTGACTACTTGGATCAAGCAAATGAAACGTATAAGTTAGTTACAAATGTCGAATTGGGATTTATTGAGAAGAAGTCTGCAAGTGCTGGTTCACAATTATCAGGTAGCTCTGTCAGAAATCTGCAGAATGCCGAGGGTAATATGGTTGTAAAAAACAATTTGGTAGCTAGTGGACTGGGGAGTACCCAGCAAGTGTATAGGTACGATGGTGGCAAATCCTGTTATTTCAGAAACATAAGCAGCTCAAACTATACCATACTCTATGATAAGGTGAGGAGTACGTGCGGCAAAAAACCAGAGTCTAATTTGGATTTTGGCTTAAGCAGACTATGGCCTTTTGGTGCTCAAAGGAACTTTCCTGGTCCCCTATTTACTTGAGAACAATGACGGTGCCTAGCTTATTCATATTGATGCATTTTCCTGTGCTACAGGAATGGACTTTTTTTGGTAAATTTTAAGGGAGTTTCTGTTTGTTGGCACCTCAAATAAAAATGTACGTTTCTTGTACTTAATTTTATATTTGTGGACATTCTTCTAGAATCTAGTTAAGGTATCTGCACTAAAATGATTCTGGTTTTCCTTGGGATTGAATGATTTCTAAAAACTGGATCATGTCAACTTGTGTTATCTCAATATAATCGACGTGTGTATGCCAGAAATTAAGAACCGCTGATTGTTTAGAATCTAGTTCTTCTGGTTGTTTTTCCATTTTGATGCGAGTCTTGCATTTGAAATTGAAGGATTATTCTGTATCTCTAAGTTTTAACTATTGAAAGCTTATGCCACTCAGCAGAATCATTAGATTTGTAATTCCACAGTTTATTTATATGAGTGGGGCAATGGTGTTTATGTTTCTGTCTCTTTCTCTTGTTAGATTACTTTCTTTTCCTACTTCTGGGTTCATGCGCACCACTCATTAAGAATGACGCGCCACTCTTAAGAATGAAGGGGCGTCGGGAGTTTATTTTCATCCCGACCCCTAATTTCAATCTGTTAGAGGAGCTTGTCTATGGTGTGAATTCGTATGGCACAGGAGCTGACCTAACCGCACGAATCCAAATCCTCGTATGAAAAAATTGAACATTTCAAGATGCAAATGCATGCCATACGAATTCTCGCCATAGATTTTTCCTATTACAGATGTATAAATTAAGGTATTCAATGACGTTTTTAAACGCTGACAATAGCTTCACTTGTCTGCCGTTTTGTTTCTTTTATGTAAACTAAACGGTTAAGAATAAATTCCACATAAATGGGAGGAGGGACCTTGCAAGTGCTTATAAGTATGTAGTTAGGCTATTTTCCATATTGTCAATTAGTTTTATAGTGGAATCTCAACTTTCTTCAAGGTATGCTTGTCCCATGTGTGAAGCTTAATGGACATACGTGCTCTACGTCACCCGATTTGTGTTGTCCATATGTTTGACTTGAAAATTTACCACACACGACTTGAGCATACATGAGACCAAGGTTCTAAAAAACGCTAGGTGCTAGTCGGGCGGCTGGCTGGCGCCTAGCGGCTAGGCGACTAGGCAGGATCTAGACGGATTTAGGTAAATTTCTTGTATATCTTGTAAATAAATGCATATTGACACTTACAAAAAATTAGACTTGTATGACATCAATGAATAAGATAATAAAAGAATGATAAAATGCAAAAAGAGTATCCAACAAGTCCAAAATTTAAAAACACATTACGCATATATGCCATATAACCATAATGAAGAGTATTGTAGGATGACACATGTACAACAAGTTCACAATTTTAAACCACTTAGACTTAAATAGGATTTTTTATTTTATTTTTTAATTTTATTAAAAAAAAAACCGCCTAGCACTGCCTAGCCTCGCCTGCCTAGCCTCGTCTAGCCCACCTAGCTGCCTAGCCCACCTAGTGCCCATCCAATTTTTCTACCAGATTTGCAAGAAAACATCTTGGCTCACCAGCTCCCAACGCCTAGGCGCTGCCTAGGCCCTTTTTTAGAACATTGCATGAGACTAATTACAAGAGCAGCATAGGGTTTGTCTTTCATGCTTTCCTTTTCCAGTTCATTTTTAGGGCTTTGATCATTGCTCAGCTTGTCACTTTTTGCAATGTGTAATGTTAGGGAGACCGAATTTTTAATTTGTAAACCAAATGATATGTCACCAATAGGCTATAAGCACCTTAATCAACATTTAAGTAATAATCCCATCATCAATATTTATGTCATTTAAATTTACAAATTTTAGTTTAGAAATTTGATCTCCCTAATATTATCCTTTTGCGTTATGTAGTTCACCACTTGCGCATTTGTCCATGTTGAATTTTTTTACAACCCTATCAATGTAATTCTTAGAAAGACCAAGCATTCTCCTCGATCTGTCCCTCTCAATAAGTCCTTCAGATCGAAACTGTTGTCATCATTAAATCTTGATTGTATGCAAGAATGACAAGTTAGAGCTGGCGAATAAAATATCATCCACGTACAAACCAAGAAAGTAAATTTGGAGCCACTAACATTACCCTTCCATGAATAAAGTTGGTTAATTTGCGGAAGAGTTTTCTTTTCTTTTATTCTGTGTGGGGGAAGAGCTTATTAATCTCCAACAAATCTATAGAAAAAAAATAATAAATGGTGCTTTAGAAAAGTATAATGTGACAATATTAAAAGGTCCAAATTAATAATGAAATAATCATTGCACATTCCACCAACAAATAGCTATATTCTCAAAACTAATTATTTGTAGAAAACATGTCTATTTTATTTTGTTGTGTAAATATTTATCCATAAATCGCCACTCATCATTCAGTTATGTTTATGAAGGGGCGTCTGACTTGGACATTATTTTCCATCCAAACCCTAACAATGCTGTAGACGTATGTCGACCAATTCATGTCATCACTCGGATTGTTCGCCTTGGTCTTTGTTACAAGCTGAAGGCTCAACTGTGCCGGACACAATCGGCTTCACGTTCTTACAGTCAAAATAAGCTGCGGGACTTTCGCCCCCTATCACATTTACTCTCATGTCACTGAATCACATCATTGCATGCCCCCTCCCCGCACGAAAGTTTGACAACGGCAGGCTGCACGGTCGTGCCCTTGACGTTCTTGAAGCTCACGTTCGATTTCTTAACATTCGAGGGCACCGTCTTTTCACAACGCCCTTTGCCTTCCGGGGTAATGCATAACTCTTGGTTCAAGATTATAGGAGTGTTCTGTATGTAGTCCATGATAATGTCCTCAAAAACCAAATTGGAAATCTCTAAAGGTTTTTGAGAACCATGATAACTCTCGATTCGAATGCCTCCCTCAGTGTGCCCAAAGGTGCAGTTCTTCACGGTCACGCACTTCACGGATTTTTCTAACTGATCGGTACCCAGGGGTCCGATACCAAGTCCGTTCCCGGCCTCGCAATGCATTTTTTTCGACATGGATATCGGAGTTGTCGTTGCTAATGGTAATGCAGTTGCTGTTGTATATCATGATATCTACATTGGTGATGTTAACTTTTGTTGATGACTTAATTAGAATTCCATCCGAACCCATTTCGTAGATGTTAACATCTTTGACTAACACGTTGGTGCTCTCAAAAATGCCAATGTGGACGTAGTCGCTATTGGTCGAGGTTATTGTAAACACGAAAAATTCCTGAAACAAGAGACAAGAATACGTGTACAAAATATATTTTTGTATTAATGATTTTGGGGTTACAATCTCTTTGTAATTTGATCCTCTGATTCTATCTTCTTAGGGTGTAGGTTTGTGGATGAGTTGTTGATCCAAAGGGCCGTCAGGGCTTGATCTAAGGATGAACGGATGATGAATGAATCTTGAAGGGGCGTTGGGCTTGATCTTGAAGAATGGGTGTATGAGTTTGTTGAGGTTGTTGATCCAAAGGGCCGTTGGGGCTTGATCTTAGGATGAACGGATGATGAATGATGAACACTTTCCTCAAGGGCCGTCGGGGCTTGATCTTGAGTTGGTGGAAGTTCTTCAAGGGCCGTTGGGGCTTGATCTTGAAGGTTGATGGATGAGCGGATCTTCAAGGGCTTTTGGGCTTAATCTTGAAGAACGATTGGATGTGTGGATTTGTTGAGGTTGTTGATCCAAAGGGCCGTTGGGGCTTGATCTTAGGATGAACGGATGATGAATGATGAACACTTTCCTCAAGGGCCGTCGGGGCTTGATCTTGAGTTGGTGGAAGTTCTTCAAGGGCCGTTGGGGCTTGATCTTGAAGGATGAACGGATGATGAACGATGAACGAAGAGTGCTTTCTTGATCCTTCGGGATTTGCTTGAGAGCTTTAGAGTTTCAAGGCTTCTTCCTTTCTTCCTTTCTTTCTTTCTTCCTTCTTTTTTTCTTTCTTCCTTCCCCTAAAATGAATGCCTTGGCTTCCTATTTATAGAATTCCAAAACTTGATTTTTGGATTTAAATAATCAGATGAAATAAATCATTTCTGCCAAGTATTGACACGTGTCCTATTTGATGACATTTCCGATTTATTTCGATTTTTTGCTGAGTCACACGCTACATGTAAAATTTATGTGACACGTGAGCGTTGAAATTTTAATTATTGATCAACATTCATTTCACCGAAATTTTGATGTCTACAAATGCCCCCACTTCAAGGCGCGTCGTAGACATGTGCTTGTCACGTGTAGAAGATGCGTTTTGAAGTCCCTTAATGTAGATGTCAACCCAAGGACCGTCGATGCTTGATCTTGAATTGGGCTGGAAATTTCTTCAAGGACCATCGAGGCTTGATCTTGAGTTCTACTGGAAGATTTTCTGGTTTCCTCCAATCGTTGATTTTCACACAGGCTTAATCTTGAACTGGGCTGGAGGATTCTTTTGGTCTCCTCCGAAGGTCTGAACTTACTCCTTTTATCTGGAGTTGAATTTGATTCAAGGGTGGTGAACACTTGATTTTGAATCGGACTTGTGATTTCTTCAAGGGCCATCGAGGCTTGATCTTGAACTGGGCTGGAGGATTCTTTTGGTCTCCCCCTATCGTTGATTTTCCTTTGTGCTACTCTTGAATTGGGTAGCAGGATTCAGACACATGGCAGGCAAGCACGAGGTGGAAGTGATGACCTGTTTCTTTGTTCAATCTTTCCAATTCGTATTGAAGAGGGTAGATCGGAAGACTGACTCCAAGTGCCAGCTGATTGCTCTTTTCACTTTGCTATGCGAGTAAGAACAAGGACAAAGGAAAGGACATGGAGAAAGCATGATATGAGATACCTTTGCTTTTGAAGAAGCAGTGAATGAATCAGCATATATATTTGTTGTGCTTGTCTTCACATGCTTTGATGTATCATTTTCACTTGCCTTACTTGCTCCTTTTGCAGAAGTGGTATTTCCTTATGCAGGTTTGGCATATTCTCTTGTAGTATTTGTTCCTGATGCAAGAATGGAATGCAACCTTTGCATTTAAATGGTGCTTCAAAACATTACTTCTCAGCGACGATGAGTACTCGAGAGCAATGCAAGGTAAGCAACCAGACAAAGGTTCCAGGCAATCAGTTCCAGGTCGGAAGTTTGATTTCAGGTTCCGACTGATAACTCTATTTCCCTTTGTCCTGCAGGTAAGAGCAAGGGTAAAGGAAAAGACAGGGAAAAAGCATGATATGAGATACCTTTGCTTTCGCCCTTGATGATATGAGATACTTTTGCCTTGGTGTCATTTGTTTGCAAGGGTATTCCCGGAGAGGAAGAAAACTGAGCATTTTGAGATGCTTTGCTGGGAGTGCGCCCTCAGAGGTGAGGAAGAGTTGGGCATTATCTTCAGGTCTGCCTTGCCATAAAAGATGAAGGTCGACATATATAGGGATTTCCCAATAGCAAGTGGTGGTACTGTTCTTTTACCCTTGTCGACAAACGTTTTGATCCCGCAAATCCGGCTTTTTGAAATAGTGACGACTCTTCGATCTTTGAATACGCCTCTTTGATTTCTGAACGACGCCTCTTCGATTTCTGAACGGGCGCCTCTTTTGACAAAGCTGCACGCGTTTTCTGAAAAGCAGAGAAAGCGTCGCCGAACTTTGCGCTTGTCGGCTAAAGATGTGTAGCTGCGATGATGACTTCCACGTGATCTTTTGACAAAGTGGCACCCGTGCTCTGAAAAGCCGAGAAAGCGTCGCCAACCTCCACGTGTTTTCAACTTTGTCGGAGATCTTTTGACAAAGTTGAACGCGTTTTCTGAAAAGCCGAGAAAGCGTCGCCTAACTTACGCCGAAAAATCCAGCTTTTGAGATTTGCAGAGCGATGTCTCTTCACTTTTGAATAAGCGGCCTTTCGATTTCTGAACCAACGCCTCTTTGATTTCTGAGCAAGCGCCTCTTCCTTTTTATAGAGGTATTGATCACCTCTAACATGCACACTTTGAAGGTTGCTCATTCCTGAAAATCATCTCCGGCCTTTTGAGTTTTAACTCCATCCACCCATCTCTTTTAACACCTTTGAAAAAATGGCTAACCCATCGAACCTTAGCTTAGAATTGGGTCTCAGCAGTGATACAGGCGCGCCGCGTCAAAGTAACGTATGACGCCCTTCTTTCTTATCTTCTAACGGTCCTCTTACAGGTGAAGACTCAGTGATGCAGGATGCAACAACAGCTACAATAGTAGCTAGGAACCTCCTCACACCAAAAGATAGTAGGCTGCTTTCAGGACGGTCCGATGAGTTGGCCGTTCAAGAGTCCCTGGCTCTCAGCGTTCAGTGCGCAGGCTCTGTGTCCAACATGGGCCAACGCCTGCTTGCTCGCTCCCGTCAGGTTGAATCATTGATGGCAGAGGTGGAAAATCTCAAGCAGGAGATCAAACAGCTTAAGTACGAGAATAGAAGTTTGCATGTGCTTGCAAATAACTATTCGTCGGGCATGAAGAGGAAGCTTGATGAGATGCAAGAATCTCAAGGTCGCATTCAAAGTGACCATCAAAGGCTTGCGTCTTTCTTCCAGAGACACCTTTTTCCTGCGTCATCAAGCGTTCCACCAAGTATTGGGGCCTCGAATGATCTATCTTCGGTGCTTCCCGCTTCTGGAGTTTGGCCAAGTAGTGGGGCTTCACGTGAACAACCTTTGTGAAAGCTCCATCTTTCTCTTTCTTTGTTAGATACATTTTTTTTTTTTTTTTTTTTTCGCACTTGTAATTTCTCGAAAATCAATGAACATGCTTCGTTTTATTTAGTGTATTGTGCTAAATACAGAGAAAACATGTACATCACCAAGATTTTTTTTTTTTTTTTTTTTTTCCCGGTGGCACTGATCCACCATTCATTTATATATCTATATATTTCAGATGGTGCCAGAAGCACCACCATTGTTTTTTTTTTTTTCCTTCTTTTTATTATATATATATTTTTTTTTTCTTTTTGCACATGGTTCCAGAAGCACCATCATTGTTTTTATTATATATATATATATATTTTTTTTTTTTCTTTTTAATTTTTTTTTTATTATTCTTTTGAAAGATGCTTCCCAGCATCATCATTGCTATTTTTTTTTTATTATTCTTTTGAAAGATGCTTCCCGGCATCATCATTTTTTTTTTCTTTATATGGCCATCTGCAAGGCTGAGTTCGTGGGTGAAAACCCAGGCCGAGTCCAAGAGAAGACGGAGGAGATCTTTGGGTGTGAGTTGACAAACTTTGATTTTGTCAATCACATTCAAAGGCAGCAGCAGAGGCAAGCAGACGGATGAGATCTTTGGGTGTGAGTTGACAAACTTTGATTTTGTTGATCACATTCAAAGGCAGCAGCCATGACGGAGGTGCAGAAACAGCCAGAGCTTGAGGCAGAGTGTAAGGCGTCGAGTTTGAAGACTGGCTAGTCGTTTGACAGCGGTCAATAAAGCTCTTCGTTGATTTTGATCATGGTGGCCAGAATAACGAACTCGAGGTAGTGCAAGGCGTGAGAAGACAGAGGAAAGAGCTCCACCATCACCATTGAGCACAGGCAAGGAGCACAGCCACTGAGCACAGGTAGCAGTGAGTTCCCATTTGTCGCCCGTGTAAGTGTTGATGCGGTGAGGGTAATGCACGATCACGTCATTCACAAGCGATCCTTGGTCCTCCTTCAACCGCCCAAAATCGCAAACAAGCAGTACACAATTTTTTTTTTTTACTTTGTCAATCACCTTGTACAGAGCATTGGGGTCCGAAGCCATGATCACATGGTCTCGGCCATTGTTCCTCTTCCAGTACTCCTGCGATTCCAGCCACTCAATCAAGGCCACCTGATTCTCCTCGTCGCTGTACAACGGCTTCTCCGACCGGGAAGCCGGTCGCGCCGGGTTAACAATCAGGCTCAATGACGAGAAGAACGGCACGTAGAACAAGTCTGCCTCTTCCGGATCCAATACCCTCTCAACGGGCGAACCAACCCGTTCCGATTCGGGTTTGAGTAGGTCCCGGAACAGGTACCGCTCACCCATGTGCTAGTGACCCGGGTACTTGAGCTTCGAAACGTCGTCGTCGGAGGCGAGCTGGGATAGGTCGCTGGGAGAGTTGACCATGACGGTTTCGAGGTGCTTAAGTCGCTGAGCGACGTGTCGTAGGTCGGAGGCACGGACCTTGTATCCCGCATCCGCCAAATAGCCATCGATCTCGGCTGGGGATTTGGTGACGGAGTGAGAAGAAGAGGAGCTGGCGCTGCTGCTGACGCCTGAGCAGGTGGTGCAAGAGCCATTGCAGCGTCTTGGAGGCCTTGGGGCTGTCTTCTGCTGCTGTCGGCTGATGGTTGGCGTTGTGAATTGGAAGGTCGCACTCTCTACACAGAATCGCTCTGTCCTACTGGCAAAACAAGAAGGCTCTTCTCTCCTGACAGATATCGCAGACGGGGAACTCTTTAGACGAGGGGTGGACGACGTTGAGGAGAGAGGAGAAGCAGGATTTTGGAGGCAAAAACTGTTGTGGCGGCTGTGAAGGGTCGAGAGAGAAGGCCGGCGACGGAGAACAGGAGGCGGAGGAGTCGATTGGTTGCAGAGGAATTTGATGATGGTGACCTTGGTGAGGTCAGGCGAGGGTCCGTCCATGATTTTAATACTAGGGTTTTGCTTCGACTACTAACTGGGAGATGAGGATAGCTTAGGAGAGAGAGAGTGATTAGAAGATGGGGTTGGAGTTGTGTGCTCGTTGAGATAGAGCCAAACTTGCTGTCAACCACTCAATGAAGGCTGTTTACATATTATATACATATATATATATATATATGTAAGTATCTTTTTTTTTTTTTTTGATGACTTGGGAAATTTTCTTTTTTTTTTTTAACAGGTACTTACTGCATTCATAGATTTCCTTGCTGTCTTTTGACGGATTACCCATGTTCATAATTGGTGGCAGCTTCTTGTGAATTTGGAATTGGTGACGGAGTGAGCAGGATGTGGGTGCAACTGTACTCTTTGCCTGGTGCTTGTTGCAGTGCGCCACTTTTTACCATGTGGTGCTGTGCAAAAGACTGCAGCGGGATTTCGCTGTGTAGTGCCTTTTCGTCACGGTTTTCCCTCGGCGGTGACTTTGTTGTGCACATTGACCTTACTGCTTGTCGTGGGCTCTTTACCACTGCTACTTGAAGCTTGTTCCAAAGTGTCACTTTTATCGTGTGTGGTTGTGCAAAAGACTGCAGCGAGTTTATGCTATGTAGTGCCTTTTGGTCACAACTTTCCTCGGTGGTGACGTTGGTGTGATGCTCACCCTTGTAATACGGCTTTGTAACCAAATCATTCCTTTAAAGAAATAAAGTATTCATAGTTTGAATTCGCTTTTTTTTTTTTCTTCAAAGTGTTTGTGTTTTTGTTGGTGATGTGACTGTACTTGAAGTTTTGAAGTTTCAAGTTGCCTACGTACCCTTGGTTGAGGAGGGATCAAGTCATGACGTAGTTCAAATGAGTGATGGTTTTGATGATGATTTTGCCGTACACAGTTTATGCTCTTGCGGGCCAGGAGCGTGGTGCGTTTGCTTTAGGGGTAGTAGCGCTTCAAAAATCTGCCGTTGATGGGGCCGATCTTCAACCCGTCTTCTGCCATGATTAAGTAGGCGCCATTGGTGTAGATCTCTTGTATCACGTAGGGTCCATCCCACTTTGATGTGAACTTGCTTTTTGTCTTATGAGTTGTAATGATAGGCCTACGCAATGCCAGCACGAGATCTCCGGCTTAGAAAGACCTTGGGCGGATTTTCTTGTTGAATGCCTTGGATAACCGTGCTTGGTAGCATTCCAAGTGTTGTTGAGCTTCGAGCCTTCTCTCATCCAGCGCTTCCAACTCCTGAAGGCGCAACTTTGCATTTTCTTCATCAGTCAAGCCTTCTTGTATAGCCATCCTTAGTGAGGGGATTTGACTTTCGAGCGGTAGAACAGCTTCTACGCCATATACAAGAGAATAAGGTGTAGCTCGGGTAGGAGTCCTATGTGTAGTCCTATATGCCCAAAGTGCTTCACTTATTCTTTCATGCCAGTCTCTCTTTGTTCGGCCGATTACCTTTTTCAGGAGGTTGCACAGCGTCTTGTTGAATGCTTCTGCGAGACCGTTGGCCGGAGCATGATACATGGAAGACTTGTGCTGCTTGAACTTGTATTTGTCGCAAAGCTCGTCCACGAGTCGGTTGGAGAACTGATTTCCGTTGTCAGTGATAATGTAGCGAAGCACCCCATATCGGTGGATGATATGCTCCTTGATGAAACGAACAACAGTTTCCTTTTTTACTTCCCTTAAAGGTATGGCTTCAGCCCACTTGGAGAAGTAATCTGTTGCAGTTAGGATGTAAGCTTCCCCTGCAGATGACTTTGGCGTAATTGGTCCTACAACGTCCAATCCCCATGCGTCGAACGGCCATGAAGCAATTGTAGGGTGTAATGGTTCAGGCGGTTGATGTATGAAGTTGGCGTGGAATTGGCAGGCTTGGCACCTTTTGGCGTGTTCCAGGCAGTCCTTCACCATACTTGGCCAGTAGTAACCCATTCTTTTAAGCCGGAAATGTAGTTTTGGTCCAGACTGATGTGCCCCACACACACCTGAATGTGCTTTTTCCATGGCTTGATTAACTTCTTCCTCACCTAGGCATCTCAGGAGTACTCCTTCAAAAGAGCGTCGGTAGAGTGTTCCTTTGTAGTAAAGGAAGCGAGGTGCTCGTCGACGTATTTCGGAACGATGTCTAAGATCATCTGGAAGCTTTCCGTGCTCTAAGTAGTCGATGAGTTCTTTAAGAACGAAGCACTTGCCAACAGGATGGCTCACAATACGATGGTACTTGCAGTACCTAGGATCGTTTGTGCGATTCATTTCTTCAGGACGCTTGCATTCAGGTAGTTCAATCACCTTTTTTTCCAGCAAGTCATCTAACATGGCAGCCATGTCAGAGTCAGGAAACGGGTACGTTTTCTGTTCCAACTCTCTCAAGGTGCTCTTGTATCTGTCTTGGGTGCGAGGAGGCTCACTTGTCTTTATCTCCTTCGCTTTCTTCTTGGAGGAGATCTTGATGGGCGCTGAGGAGGTCTTGATGGGCGCTGAGGAGGTCTTGATGGGGATAGTGTTGACGGTGAAAGCTTCCTTAGCGGGCTTCTTCCCGGTCTTGTCTACATTTGGGGCGAATACTTTATCCTTATTGAAGTTAGTAATCGGCTCCTTTTTCCCGTGATTAGCGATACTCAGCTCCATGTCGTGGGAACGAGTTGCTAGTTCTTCGAATGTTCTTGGTTTTATGCCTTGGAGGATGTAATGTAACCCCCAGTGCATGCCTTGAACACACATCTCAATGGCAGAGGTTTCAGAAAGCCGATCTTTGCAATCCAGACTCAAGGAGCGCCATCTATTTATGTAGTCGACGACAGGTTCATCTCTCCACTGTTTCGTACTGGTCAGCTCTAGCATGCTTACAGTACGACGAGTGCTGTAGAAACGGTTGAGGAATTCCCTTTCTAGCTGGTCCCAACTGTTGATAGACTCAGGTTCGAGGTCAGTGTACCAGTCAAAAGCGTTACTTTTCAGCGAACGCACGAACTGTTTGACGAGGTAGTCTCCCTCTGTCCCAGCATTGTTGCAAGTTTCAATGAAATGGGCGACATGTTGCTTCGGGTTGCCTTTTCCATCGAACTGCATGAATTTTGGGGGCTGATAACCCCTTGGCATCTTCAAAGCATTAATCTTCTTGGAGTAAGGCTTTGAGTACAGTACGGAGTCATGCGAGCTTCCTTCGTACTGTGTCTTGATAGTGCTTGCAATCATCTCCTGTAGTTGCTGGATAGAGAGAGATCCCATGGACGCCGTTGCTTGGTCTAGTTTCAGCTTCTCTTCGACTTTCTCTGCTGGAGGCTCCTCTTCTTCGTCGCCTTCTTTCTTTAATAGGCCAACAATTGGGTCGACTTTCACGTCGGGCAGCGCATCTAGTTGGTTGACAAGTGCGGCAATCTGCAAGTCCTTCTCTTCCACAGTTCGTGTGAGCTTTGCGATTGTTTCATTCATCTGAGCTAGCTGCTCCTCGATTGAAGTTGCTCCAGTGGTCATGACTTGCATGGTTGTACTGCCGCTCGAATCAGCGTCGGAGAGTAGGGACTCTGAGTATTTCCTCGGGCTTTCCCCCCTTGATGCCCTTAGCGAGGCTAGGGTGATCACAGGCTCGTACCTTAGGTGCTCTTGTTCCTTTGACAGAGTTAATGCAGGGGCGGAAGTCGCGGCAAAAAGATCTCTTGCCTTACTTCGGGTTATGATGCCCGAAATATCACCACTTGCGGCGATGATGTTCTTATTCTTTGCTTTGATTGCAGGAACAGCTTGATCCTTTCTTGATGCCATTTGCGTTTTTTTGATGATTTGAGGATAGAGATGAGAGGTAGAGATAGTCCCACTGGTCGTGCCAAATTTGTAAACACGAAAAATTCCTGAAACAAGAGACAAGAATACGTGTACAAAATATATTTTTGTATTAATGATTTTGGGGTTACAATCTCTTTGTAATTTGATCCTCTGATTCTATCTTCGTAGGGTGTAGGTTTGTGGATGAGTTGTTGATCCAAAGGGCCGTCGGGGCTTGATCTAAGGATGAACGGATGATGAATGAATCTTAAAGGGGCGTTGGGCTTGATCTTGAAGAATGGGTGTATGAGTTTGTTGAGGTTGTTGATCCAAAGAGCCGTTGGGGCTTGATCTTAGGATGAACGGATGATGAATGATGAACACTTTCCTCAAGGGCCGTCGGGGCTTGATCTTGAGTTGGTGGAAGTTCTTCAAGGGCCGTTGGGGCTTGATCTTGAAGGTTGATGGATGAGCGGATCTTCAAGGGCTTTTGGGCTTAATCTTGAAGAACGATTGGATGTGTGGATTTGTTGAGGTTGTTGATCCAAAGGGCCGTTGGGGCTTGATCTTAGGATGAACGGATGATGAACGATGAACACTTTCCTCAAGGGCCGTCGGGGCTTGATCTTGAGTTGGTGGAAGTTCTTCAAGGGCCGTTGGGGCTTGATCTTGAAGGATGAACGGATGATGAACGATGAACGATGAACGAAGAGTGCTTTCTTGATCCTTCGGGATTTGCTTGAGAGCTTTAGAGTTTCAAGGCTTCTTCCTTTCTTCCTTTCTTTCTTTCTTCCTTCTTTTTTTCTTTCTTCCTTCCCCTAAAATGA